AGTCTAAAGATCCAACCAGATAGCTAGAGAAAATCACATCTGGAAAAAGCTGCTTTGCTGGGAATGACACCTCCCCCTTCAAGTGATCCTTCAGTCCCTACAGGAATCTCACAAGCCTAGCCCCCCACACACACACACAAAGTAGCCTTGCTGCTGGATCAAAAAGTTCCACCTTGGGCTGGTTCATGATCTCTCATGCATTGTGTGATCACTGAAAACAGTTCACACCTGATTATGCCACAAGAGGTCCAAAATGCATGCTATTTCTCTGTCTGATTGCACCCTTAGGTATACTTTACACTCTTGCCTTCTGGCTGGGAGGAGCTTTGAGTGCCCAATGCCCCAAATACAACCATCATCTCTGTTTGTCTGCAGTTGCCATATTACTGTACTGCCCATTCATCCATTCTGGAGACATTTTTTGCAACTCTTGGCAAATCCCTTTTGTTTTTCTTGTTGTGAATTATTTAGTGTCACCTTAACTTGATGTCCTAATACCAAACCTTGGGCAACCTCATTTCTTCTCTGCTTCCAGTTTTAACTTGTTGCAGAACCTTAAGAGCAATTCTGTGGGAATCTTCTCCAGTTGAAATTTCCAGTGGGTTTGACTCTTTGCCCTCTCTGACATACAGAGTAGCATTACTTCCAGCACCCTTCCTGTGGAGTTTGTACGCAGACTTCGCTTAAAGCTCAATATGTCTGTTATGAAGCAGTCCATCTTGGCCCAGTCAATATAGTACACTATGTGTCATAATATGCCATCAAGTCACTTCCAAGGTATGGTGATCATTATTAGGGCTTTTTAAGGTATGTGAGATGTTCCAGGAGTGGTTTGCCATTGCCTCCCCCTCCCAGTGAGTTTCCATGGCCAAATGGGGAGACTGGAGCCCAAACCTCCTAAGTCCTAGTGTGATACTCCATACACTACACCACACTGCCTATCATGTACAAACATGTTTATACCTATATGCAACCGCACATGCCACACAAAGCCTGAAGATCATGAGGTCATAGCCATGAAGCTGCCACAATGAGCTCAGAATCTGTCCTCATACCACCGGGCCGGGGATTTTCTTCAAGATTTCGTCGGGATAATCAAAGGCCCTTAAAGTATAATATCCGGGAAAAGGCTCTGTCAGGGATGACTGTGGTTAGCTGGGTTTCCACCCTCCTCTCCTCTCCTCAGCCAGGGTGCGAGGTGTCCGCAAAAGCTGCACATTCCGCAACGGGTTACTCCGCTGCATTTTGCCAGACGGGTTTTCTTGGCTGGAATCCACCACATCCAGTTTGCGGCGGGAGGGGACGCTTTCCTGGAAGTGTGAATCATGCAGAAGCACGTTTCAAGCAAAGGAAGAAGAAGAAGAAGAAGAAGAAGAAGAAGAAGAAGAAGAAGAAGAAGAAGAAGAAGAAGAAGAAGAAGAAGACAGCAACAGAAATTCCAATTTAAAAAATCAATACAGACGTAGGTTTATGGAAAGGCTTTCCTTCTTCTTCCCTGTGATGTCAGCCGTTTAATAACGAAGCGGTTCCCAATTAGTGGGCAAGGGTAAATAATGAGCCAGATTTAGGAGTGGGGAGATAACGGCGTCAGTTACATAGTTTACTAGATATACCGGGTGTTTGTTTGTTTTTTCCCCCAAGGAGTTCCCTGATGTAAGAGGCAGGGAGGGCGGAAGAATAGATGTCGGAGGGCAAAAAAAGTTGGTCTGACCGTGCGAAAGTTATTGTTTGCACCACACCTGGGAGCTATGCACGGGATTCTGGGCGTTGTAGTCCCAAATAGTACCTTTTCCAGACTCTGTTCTTTCTATGAAATGGCATTGTGGGAGACAAGCAAAAAGGATAATCCATAGCTCTGGATGCTTGGTTTTTGTTTTGTTTTTAACGAATGCCATATTATTCTGTTTTAATTGACTGTTATCTGATGGAGCAAGGAACCTTTGATCCTCGAGAGAGTTTGTACTACAATCCCCATAAATCCGTAGCTTACCTTGCTGGCTTGGCTTCTGGTGGTGGAAGTTCCAGATAACTGAAGGGGTGAATATATCCCATTATAGGTTACAATGTAAGTGTTGGGTCATGAGATGAGATATTGGTGCACGTGTGAATGAATCATTCATTACCTGAATGGAATGCTAAAGGAGAAAATACAGTATTCTTATACTAGATAATTTTTTAAAAGTGTATATTACCTCTTGGGAAAGTTACTTTTGAACTAAAACTCCCAGAGCCTTCCAGCCAAATTGGACGCAAGAATTCTGGGCGTTGTAGTTCAAGGCAGTAACTTTTCTCCCATGTCCCTATGTGTCTGTATGTGAGGGGGGAAAAAACCTATAGGGTAACGCATCTCGGACGTTGCTTCCCGGCTAGAGCTCGAAGACAGACCCGAGGCAGACCCCGGGTTGTCCGCGGAATTCCGTGACTCCCTGTTCGTCTGAACGACGGTGGTGGAAGGAGGACCCAAGAATGGCGTCCAGACTCTTCCCGTTAAACAGATTTATTAGGGAAATGCAAAGAAGAAAGAGATTTCAGGAAAAAATACTTTGGATCAATGATATGGATGCCTTTGCGAGCTTTGGTATGAACTTTTTGTCTGTTTCCAAACACAAGAAATTAGGCTCAATGCGCCTAAAATCCTATGCGCGTTCGACTCAGCAGCAAGTTCTATTGAGTTGAATGGGGTTGGCCCCCAGGTCACCCCAGAAAGGGCGAACGACCCCATTACCGTTCCGGGTTAAAGGAAAAATTTCCAAAGAACAGCATTAGATCGTCCTCGGTGGCCCTTGCCGGCCGCAAAATGAGATTCCTCACTAGTTTTACGGAACGGAAAGGGTGAGCAGTCGGCGGCCATCTTCTGTTTATGTGGACACACTGCTCCGTTTATAGCGCGATCTTCTAACGTCTACTCAGAAGTAAATCCGGTTGATTTAGACGGGGTTTACGCCTACCTGGACCTGAACCTTCAACATGGGATATCCTCCCTTCTCTCGCCTCCTCAAACCTAAGAATTAAGAATATATATATTTGCCTACGTGATATGAACATTTCATTGCTTCTGATGGATTTCCAGCAGTTCCGACATGCTGGCTATGAACTAGGAGTGGTCGTTCAACCAAGATTGCTGATTAAAGGATGAGAAAAAAAATATATGTATTGCTCTTTTTAGGCCGAAGTGATACACCCATTGAGCTCAGTGGTACTTACTTCTGACTAGACATGCTGTGAATTTCCCCTTCTTTTAATTCACAGAGGTATGATAAAGGACTGTAGAGAGATGCTCAAATGGGGCACCTACATTTTGTCCATTTTCTACGGTCACTTTGTGATCCTGCTTAACGCTGACGTGTCGCTTGACCTGACCTCAAATTTCCAGAGCAAATATTATTTTCCAAAATTATAATCCTTAAAAGATAATCTGTATATATTTTTTCCTAATGAACTGCTCAACTCTTTCTTTCAGTGTAAATCTAACAACTTTTTTTAAGTGCCACAAATTGTTAGTGGTCTGTGCGGTTTGCAGAGTAAAGCAGCTCTTATTAGATCTTGCAAAACAGCAAAGTTTACTATTTTTCTCAGTCTACTCGGTTTAAAAATCAAAGTTATCTTCCTATAATTTCAGGATCCTTTAATTTGGTCGGATGTAACTTTCTCCCCTCGCTTCTGTTGCTGAGATCCCAAGAACGTTTCTTTGGAAATAAATCCGAATGTGAGGGACATCATTCAAATCACTCAGATTAACGGTAGTTAACAGTATTTAGGAAAGGAATTAATAGGTGGGGTTAGTTTTGGAGTTACTAGTCAATCTCTTTCCAATGGTTAAGGCCTGAGACCCAAATAAAGTTAAAGTGAAGTATTTGAATAAGAATATTGTCAAATTAACAACAACATGGCATCTGGTTGCTTCCGACATATGGCTTTCCCAAAAGGGTTTTTGAGATACGTGAGATGCTGAATAAGTGCCACCACCCCTGTCACTTTCCATGGCCAAATGAGATTTGAACACAGATCTCCTAAAAATCCTTCACTTTCCATGGCCAAATGAAGAGATTTGAACACAGATCTCCTAAAAATCCTAATCCATCTCACATTGGTTCTATTGGTGCCTTATGTCGACCACCCGGTAATGCGATGTGCCACTGCTGGACCTACTTTTTGGGGGGGAGAGAGAGTTTGAGGATCGTAGATAGAACAACGCCAATCAAATATACGCCTGCATACACGCGCAGTTGTATGTATCTTTACTTGGAGGCCCGTCCCATGGAGTTCAAAAGGGTTTGGTCGCGAGTAGCCTTACTGGTTGCCTGGCCCAGGAAACGTCGCGATCCTTCCGACAGAGAGATAGCCACAAACAACAGCCGCATTTCGTAGTGTTCCCAACCTAGGGATTTGGGGAGAGGGCATTCTTGGACTACATGATCCAGATTCCCGGGCTAGCCAGGGGATTTTAGGAGTTGTGGTCCAAGAAAGCCCCCTCCAAGTTCACTCGCCCCGCCCCCTTGTTGTCTAAATAACCGCAATAAGTTAAGTCGTGCTGATTTAAAGTTCTGCAGGTACCTAGGGGAGCCTGGCCAAGAGCTGTGACGTCGCTCACCGCCGCCACCGCTCCTTTTGTGCAGCCACTTTGGCTCTGGTAGGGTCAGACACCCGTCCCCCTAAAACAAATGTCCTCGGCGTCCCTCCCTCGCCTTCCCCCCAACCGCAGCGCGTTTTATTGCAAAGGAATCACTGCCGGGGGTCATAATATACATTATGTACAAATATAGATTACACACACACACACAGCCGCTGACCGCCGCCGCCGCTCCTTTCGTGCAGCCACTTTGGCCCTGGTAGGGTCAGACACCCGCCCCTCCCTAAAACAAATGTCCTTGGCGTCCCTCCCTCGCTTCCCCCCCCCCCGCAGCGCGTTTTATTGCAAAGGAATCACTGCCGGGGGTCATAATATACATTATGTACAAATATAGATTACACACACACACACATATATATATACACGGCCCTTCCTCCTGCCAAGGCAGAGTCTGTGCAAGAATGTGGAGCCTCTTCTCCGTGCAAGTCGTCCCAGACGCCTAGTCTACCCTGTCCACACAGCCTATCAGCTGTCGGAGTCCAAATCGCTTTTGGTTTCTTCTTGCCTCTTTTCTGGGGAGGTTTTGGAAGTTGTTTTGTTCCATTTCTGAGGATTCTCCGATTCCTCCGAGGAAGACCGCTTCTGCCTTCTCCATTTAGCCCGGCGGTTCTTGAACCAAACCTGCCAAGTTAAGCAAATAGAAGGAGAAAAGGGGAAAGGTCACTTGCCACAGAAACCGTTGCGCGCAGGGCTTGCTTCGTCCCGCGATGGCTGCCACGGGCGCCAGAGGAAGGGGGCCATCAGGGGTCTAAGCCCACTGGCAAAACTTGCTAGCGAGAGGACCTGAAATGAAATCCCCCATCACCAGAGAACAGCGATCGTACGTTCAATTGTAAGGGACAGTAGAAGCTTATTGACGCTCATGTGAATAGACCATTGTTTAGTCCGGCTAGCTATTGTGGAGGAAGATCTCCTAATGTCTAGAATATGTTCAACACACATGAGATAAAATTAAGAGGCCAATCTAGCAAATTTTAAATCTGGCTCACCCGCCCCTACGTATACACAGCGCAGTTGAGAGTTGCCCCCGCCATCCTTTGACGGCTAACATATTTACTTCCCTAACAAGCAAGAAGCGTTATGCCCTCCAGGATCGCTTTACTACTGGAGGTCAAAACGGCAAATGATTGAGGTGAAGGATGGGGATCAGGAATGATATGAGGAATTCTTCCGGTTAGTGATAACTTTTGTCTTTCTACCTCACTGTTGACACCGAGTGGCAGCGGCTGCCCCACATTTCCTGAAGGTTTGTCCCCTGAAGATGCCGGGGATCGAACCGGCGACCTTCTGTATGCAACGCAGAAGCAGCAGCTCTCAATCCCTTGTGATACCAGGAGTAGGTCTGAACAGCTGCACAGGAAACACGTAAGGTATACCTGGGCAGCTGTGCTCAATGCAGGTGGAGGAGGGGCGTTGATCCAAAAATCTAGAGCAACATAAACTTGGCTAAAAGTCAAGTCAAGAATCCGCTTTGCGGACATCCTGGACTGCCAGAAAGACGAACAAGTGGGTCCTAAAACAAACCGAGCCTGAACTATCTCTGGAGGCTGTTGAGACGGAGGCTGTCCTGCTTTGGGCATATCATGAAAGATGAGATTCTCTGGAAAGGATGATAATGTTAGGAAAAGTGGAAGGCAGCAACTGCTTTGAGCATATCATGAGAAGAAAAGATTCTCTGGAAAGGATGATACAGTAATGTTAGGAAAAGTGCAAGGCAGCAAGAAAAGAGGAAGACCAAATACTGTACGAGATGGACTGACTCCCTAAGGAAGCCACAGGCTTGAGTCTACAAGAGCTGAGCAGGGCTTTCAAGGAAAGGACATTTTGGAGATCGCTCATTCATAGGATCGCCCGCGTCTTGAAGGCAGGTAGCAGTAACTGGAAGGCGAAAAGGCGAGCACGGTGGATTCGAGGAGAGGACATTTTGGCAATCGCTCATTCATAGGATTGCCGGCGACTTTAAGGCAGGTAGCAGTAACTGGAAGGCGAAACGCGTCTTGAAGGCAGGTAGCAGTAACTGGAAGGCGAAAAGACGAGCACGGTGAAGAACCCTTTAGTGCTGCCTTCTTTGACTTGCCAAGGAAGCTCAACCCCAGCAAAGAGGATAGGATCGGGCGCAGTTGCCCCCTTCGCCCAATTCACCCTCCCCATCAGCCACACCAACTATATGCAGAAGGAATACCAACTTTGTGTACGATTGATGTGCGACAGGATCGCCACCGACTGTTTTGTGCGCAGCTCAGTACAATTCCCCGGGGGGATAAATGCACGGGAAAGATGGTTGCGATCAAGTCGGGAAAAAGTCGTTAGACAGCAGGGTGCCTTATGAGTGTGCTCTGCCTGCCACACATTGTTGTTGTTAGGTGTCCTCAACTCCCTTCCGACCTATGTATAGGGACCCTGTGAATGATTGCCATTCCAAAAGGTCCTATCGTTCACAACCCTGCTCAGGTCTTGCAAAGGCCAAGCCCTGGTTTCCTTTATGCAGTTAATCCATCTGATGCTAACTACCCATTTAGCAAAGAAGAATTTGGCCTGACTGAAGTCCTGATAATAAAATCCATTTTCTCTGAAAAGCAAGCTTCAAGTAGTGGACGTACTCCAAATGTTAGTCGCCTTTTTCTAAGAATAACTTTCATTTAAACTCAGCTACTTGATGTTAACTATACTTCCAGTCCCCAGTGTTGTAAACAACAGGATTCAAACGCATCAATGACTTCAGCAGCGCAATCCTATGCATGTAGACTCAGAAACAGATGCGGGTGACTACAGTGGGGTCTCCTGCCAGGTATATTAGTTCCGGGTGGCACTCTAGGAACGATGTCCGTTTTTAGACCCAACCAGGGTAGACCTACTGAAGTAAATAGGTCTTACTTTATTTAGCGTTGACTAATCAATCCCCGCCATTTCCACGGATCCCATTCTGCTTGGATGTCTCACTAAGTTTAGTTACACCGGTAGTAAATTCCAATTCAGTCGTGAATGGTTGAGCTAAACGTGCAGTTCTCAGAGGCGCTAACCCAGCACATATTGAACAGTTCAAATCCGAGCCGCTCCGGTTGCGCTTAGTATTCCATTCCGTTTCCAGCAAGGGTGCTGACTTAGGAATGAACAGGGCAGGACTGGCTTGTGTCAGGATGAGAGGAACAAGCCACTGACCTTCCTCCCTTCTTTATCCACTGTTCCTTGCTTAACATAGGGAAAGAGGAGCCGCGCAAACTCCCCTCTGTCTGTCCCATTTTCTAACAGTTCCAAAGTGAATCCTAGAGGAAGTGTCCCCTTACCTCCACTTTCTCCTCCCGTAAATGTACCCTCCTGGCCAGCTGCTCTCGAGTGCCCACGTCGGGGTATTTGGTTTCCTGGAAGAGGTTTTCCAGCGCCTCTAGCTGTTCGTCCGTGAAGATGGTTCGATGCCTCCTTTTCCTTCGGCAGTGGAGCTGGTTGAGAAGCTGCAACTCAGTCCGGGACAAGGTGCCCACGTTCATGTACGGCAGCATCTGGTGGGGCACTGGGGACATCAGGACTGAGCCGGTACCTTCATAACCTGGAGACAAAGCGGAGAAAGGTACAGGAGTGCAAAAAGAGTCGGCTGGAACTGGTTTGGATTGGGAGCTCAAGGAAACAAGGAACTCCCTAAAGATTTCTGGAGGGCTAGCTACAGAAGCAAGAGACTGAACCGGGATTCTCCTCCAAAGAAGGCAACGGGTTGACAAAAGGAAGGAAATCGGGCAAAAATACTCGGTTACTTTCTGGAAATTCTCAAGGAGTTTCCGGCGTGGAACTGTAGGCTCTTCCATTCTAAGGACGGTGAACATCGCAGTAAAGGAAATATGCATTTTCACTTGGTCTTCAAATGCATTTTCATTTGAAGACCAAGTAGAAACTGCAAAACTTACTCCTCATGCCTGAACGCTTGTTTCCACAAGTTCTAGATTAGCCTTGAAGTGCTTTTGCACAGCTCAGCAGATTTCCATCCATCCATAGACCCCCACACCCCCACAGCCTTGAGCACTGAGGCTATACTCTCGTTTAAGGAGTTTAATGAACGTTTGCCTTACTTTTACTTTCGTTCTGTTACGCCTCCAATTGAACTCAGACATACTTCGTATGAAAAGGAGATGAGGTATATCTTTTTTAAGGCAACGGAAAGAAACAAAAAGGGTGTCATTTCATGTTTTTCCCAAGCATGTATTTCAGAGTTGATCTGTTTAATTAAACCTATAAAATCTAGGCTCTTACGCACAGACGTAAGTTTCGGGGAATTCAGGATAATAAACCCTGAATCCTTAAAACAACACACAAGCCCTGCAGGTAATTGAGCTATACAATTAAATGTGGAGAGTATGATAACAGCATCGATTTTAGACCCTTCAACTGAACAGGATTTTTAAAACTTCAAATCGTATTTCTAAGGACCGGGTGACTTTTTTTAAAAAAGGGGGGGCGAGTTTTGCATTAAGCAGGGACGTCTTCAATCTTGCTGAAGACGAAATCTATCTCCCAAAGACTAGTGGCTCTTAATTTATTCAAGTTAAGTAAATACATTTAGGACGGGAATTTTTAAACCACCGTCTCTGTTTTCCCCTCTTCCTTCACTGTTTAAATCCGAATATCTGGTCTGTCCGTTGATGTTATTAAGAATGCGAAGCTGATACCTCGATCTCAAACTTATTTTCTTAAACTAGAGTTCTTTTTCTAATCCGGTGGGCCATCAGGGAGCTTCAGAGGCACGCGTGGTTAGGGAAGGAAAAAGACACTTCGAAGGGGAAAGCGAATTTCGCTAGCTTCAGAAAAAGGAGAGTCACGGCTCTTTTTTGCGCACATTTGCGCAGTTTTTTACTCAGTAAGACGCACTTATTTTAGTAAGATTCCAGTAATGGAATCTTACTAAAGATTCCATTACCCGCTTCCAGTAATGTTCGAAATAAACGACTACTTGATCCACCCGCTTCCAGTAATGTTCGAAATAAACGCGTGTCTTGCCTGAATTCTAAATACACGAGTTTGTCGTGGGATGTCAGAAAGGGTCCTCTGAGAGAAAGGGACGCTAAGGATTCTGGGGGTGGGGTGGGGGGAAAACTTCAGAAAAGCCAACCACTTCTGCTTCTTCAAAGAGCTGACGTGAATTCTCCGCTGACCAGATACATGCGGCTACTAACTAAGCTGGTTCTGATATGGTTCCTTCCTCTCGGACAGTGAATGCCACATAACCTGCAACCGGGCCCCAGCGTTGTGTCTAAGAAGGCCTCAAACTCTGGACAGATCAAGGCACTAAACTCAGGAGGGGCTGCACGTGTAGAAACAGGTCTTGATTCTATATGGAGAGGCGTCTCCAGGAGGAGCAACAGGCCGATGTCCCGCGTTCATGCATACTTTTATGGGTTTACCTGTCATCATGTTGCATCTGACTTATGGCAACCCTAATAGGGCTTTCAAGGTATGTGAGATATTTAAGGAAAAGTTTTACCAGTTCTACCAACCCCACCCCGTAAGTTTCCAGGGCTTAAGGGGAATATGAACCCAGGTCTCCTGAATCCTCATGGGTAACCCCATCTACTAGGCCACCTGGCTGTTTTAGTTTGCTGACGCGTAAAAACAACAGACTCATATGTTATCCTTACCCTAATGTGATAATTTGCTACCTGAGATAGATGGATCAGCAAATGGTCAGCCCAATGGAAGTTCAACAGCAGAGCGTTTTTGAACCGTTAAGTTATCCCAGTGGGAACGGAGATACTAGAACGGCGCAGCGAAGTTTTTTTACCCAGAATTTTACTTCGAATTTTACTCATGATCACAAATCTGGGTTCGTTCGTTCGTTCGTTCGTTCCTTCCTTCCTTCCTTCCTTCCTTCCTTCGAGGCTGATCAGGTGGTTCTGATGCCTGAGGCGGAACTTCTCAGAAGCGCTCCTCCCTCGGTGTCAAACCTCAATTATTATAAATTTCTTGCAAAACCAATTACGCCCTGCTCGGGGATGCGCCCCATCAGCTGCCTTTCTTTCGCTCCGGCCTCACAGTAGCGCTGAGCCCCTCCAGAGGGCCTGGCCTTTAAGGGACATGTCGCTAGTCTCACAAGAAGGAGAGAAACCGGAGGAAAGGATTGAACACGGGGGACAGGGAGGGCGAGAAGAGAATCCAAGACAGTACTAGATAGATAACTTTAATCTATCTTCCTTCTTTCCTTCCATCACACATACACCGGAGTGGGTTGGAATCCAGAAAATCTTCCTTGCCAAATGCAACGTGTCGTCTTGAGAGTATCACAAGTTTCTTTTGCACAAGATTCTTTTGCAACAAATCAGTGCACCCCGAGGCCCAGCTCCTCTCTTTCTGCCCCTCTTCCTCCCTCACGGAGGGAAAGTGAAAGTGACCG